CATGGCCGAAGGGGCAAGAAGGATCTCTAGGGTCTCTTATATAAGGACACTAATCCCATTCATGAGGGTTTCATCCTCATGACCTTAATCACCTCCCAAAGGCCCAACCTCCAAATGCCATCACATTGGGGATTGGGTTTGAAACCAGAAGAATTTTGGGGAGGTGCAAACATTCAACCTACAGCAGAGTGTATTTTTCTTAACTGCCACCAACGTGGCTATTACAGTTTTTTAAGTCTTTGCTAATATGAAACATTACCAAAAGAGTTGGAGAATTCAAAATAATCAAGGTATTTTATATTATTTTGACTATTAATGTGACCCTCTTTTCAAGTGTATATTGGCCAGTTATATTCCCTCGGTGAACTCCCTGTTCACATCTTTTCCCATTTTCTTTTAGTTGTTGATTTGTAGATGCTCTTTTATAGCATGAGTAGGAACACTTGTCTATGACATATGGTAAGTATACTTCCTTATCTGACTGATGGTGTAATTAGGTAATGTAAGTTTTTAGTTTTTATAACATCAAGCCTGATAACTCTTTCATAATTTCTGACACTGACAAGTCTATGAAGAAAGGCCTTCACAACAAAGGATTATTATTTTTTAAATTACCTTAAACTTTATTTTGGCACAACCATGATCTCATATTTTACATTAAGAAAATATTTAATTTTTCCAATTAAACCTCTCCAGACTGTTTTTAGATTTGGTGTGGTAGGAATTCAGTGCTATTTTCCCCAACCCTTAATGTTCAAAGAACATTTTTAAATAAATTATCCTTTCTCTATGATTTAAATACCAATTTGAAGATAAATCACTTCCTATATAAATCACTGATCTGTTTCTGGACTTGCTAGTCTGTAGCTCTTGGAGGAAAAATAACCCTTGCTTTCTTATAAGTATGGCCGTAAAATTTTCTGAGTAGACAGAGAAGCAAGTTAGGAAACCTATAAGGAGCAGTTCTGGATGCTTGTTTCTTTAGCCACATAGGTCTCTTTCAAGATTTGTTTTTGTCGCTCTGGGATTTTTGCTTCTTTATGTCTTCTCTTTAGTTTCTGTAGAAGCTGGAGTTTCAGACCTAAAGAAGCAAGCTCCCTTCAGCTTTATCTCTAACTGAGACTTACCTGTACCTCCCAGATGGGAGACAAACAACAGGTCAAAAGAAGGGACCTCCTTCCCCAAGTCAGACACACCCCCACTAGCACCCAGACACAGTCCTGGTGTGATCTCTGAAGATCACAGCTACTCAAATAAACTCTAATAGAAATATCACGTTCCATATATGCCTCAGATATAAAATGAAACACATGTCAGAATCCAACCTTGGAGCACAGCAGAGAAGGGACTTGCTCTAGTCCTGATTCCATCATATGAACCTTGGAACTGTCTTTAATAAGGCTTAGTTTCCTTGCCATCTGTGAAATGGCGATAATCATTGTGATCCTGCCTTAAGTCACAGAGTTCCTGAGAGTTAAATGAGACAATATAGCATAAAATAGCTGTAGAAGATGTAATTTACTATACAAATACAAGGAATCACTGTAAAATACTAACAATAGGCTTTTAAAGCTTGAGATGGCCTTAAATATTATACAGCAGTACCGTTCCATAGAAATATAATGCAAGCCTCTGAGGCACCTGGCTGGCTCAGTTAGCTGAGTGTCCCACTCTTGATTTCAGTTCAGGTCCTGATCTCACGGTCCTGAGTTCAGGCCCCATGCGCAATTTTAAAATTTTCAGTAGCCACATGAAAAGAAAAATGAGGGGAAATTTGAGTAATATATTTTATTTAACACAATATATCCAAAATATCATTTTAACATGCAATTGATATAAATTATTAAGGAGAGACTTTACATTCTTTTTTTTGTACTAAGTCTTCCAAACCCAGTGTCTATCTTACAGGCATATCTCAATTTAGACTAAAATATTAAGTATTCAATAGCCACGTGTGGCTACCTTAATAGACGGTGCAAATATATGGTTTAAATGCTTATTTTATAGAGTGGAAAACTGAGGTTCAGAGGTATTAAGGGATTGTCTTCAAGGTCATCTGATTTTATCATGGTAGGGTTTGGCTTAGAACTCCAATCTTTCAGCCTACCTGCACTTTTTGCACTTAGTGTGGTAGGGATGTAATTTTTTTCTCCCAAGCTTTTATCTGACTAATCTAATACCCTTCCCTGAGCGAATGAATCATCCTTTCTGCACTAATTTAAAACAACACTTTTTTAAATATAGTAAATTCCTATACAAAGTGCAGATCTGTTTTTGGACTTTGCATTTTGTTCTATCTACCATCTCTGGAGGAAAAGGAACTCGATCTCTTGGGTGTATGTAGTGAGAATCTGCCAGTGGTTTTCCATTTAATTTACAACAACGACAAAACACTGCACAACATTTTAAAGTGTATGTGTGAACCTCGAACTCTGGAAAAGCGCACTTCATATATGAGGCTGTCAGTACAGTGCCCGCGGCCAGGGCCAGCTCGGGGGCCTCCATTCACGGGGACACGGGTGCAGACACACACAGGAACCCACGCACACGTAACTCAGCCCGACACACAGATTCAGGGAATAGGCGTGGAGGTGGCGGAGTGAGGCGAGCGCCAAAGGAGGAGAAAGAAATCCCAACCGCAAGTCCTGGACTGCGGCGACGACCGGGAACCTCCGCCCCAACCGCCGCAGAACCAACGGCGGGGGCGGGGCGTAGAGGGCGCACGGCACGCGTGAGGGCGTAGGGCGTGGCTGGAGGGCGTGGGGCGTGGCTGGAGGGCGTGGGGCGGGGCCAGGGCGCAGACCGGGGCTGAGGGGCGCGGGGCGTGGCTGGAGGGCGCGGGGGCGTGACTTGAGAGAGGGGGCGGGGGGCGGGGAGCGAGGAAAACAAACGTCCGGAAGAGGGTGAGAAAGCCGACCGTGCTGGGTTGCCGAAGAGGGCGGGAGAGGCGGCAGCTGGGCCGCACAGCGCACATCTTCTTACTTTGATCGTTGAGAGCAGCGAAGTAGAAAACAGAGAAGGCTGACGGTAGCATGATGGGAAATGAACACTTAGAAATGGAAGCAGTATAGATTTTAAGCCGGTAAATTCTGGAAGGGGAAAAAGAAGAGAAAAACTAGCAAACGACAGGGTATCTATACATATTTGAACACATGAGGAAAAATCTCAGCGAAGGAAATGAACTTAACGTTCTCCAGAAAAGACAAATGTTAGAAGTTTCCGTGAGTTGTTGTAGAATGTGCTTGGCATGTTAAAGGCATCAGGACATGTATTTCTCCGGGAGAAGAAGGGCAGGATAGATAAAAAGATTTGTTTGGGAGTGGTCAGGAGGGCTCTGCCTGCCAGAGATTTTTTTCGGGTAGGTGATCCTGTGGGGGCGCTGAGGGCTGAAGAATGAGAGCTGAGAGTGTGGCTTTAGGACATCAGTAGAAATGACAAGCAGCGACTGTTTCCTCCGACTCCCTTATCAGTCCCCTGCCCAGTCGGAAACAACTAGTCTGGTTCAGACCACGAGGCTCTGCTGCCCCTCCGCTGACTGCCCTCACGTCTCCCGAAGCAGCTCCAACTTCCTCCGCCTGTGAGACTGCGGCTCCCCGTTCAGAAGAGGAGCTGGATTCAGTGAGAAAGGTCCACTTGGAATTTCACACAAAAGGCTTCTCCTTGTTTTCAAATATATTAACGCAACAGAGTCAGGCATTAAGGTATAGGAGGGTTGCAGAGATTTTGAAAATGCGCACAAAAGATAACCGACAGGAGCTACTCCCAGAGTCCTCCCTTCTCCGCAATAGACTAAGCGATTCGTTCGTGTTACCGGTCACTACGGATTAGCGGAGCCCCTCCGGCTGTTTGCTCTGCCAGATGGAAGGATTTCCTCTGCAAGGGTTAACTGCCTTCAGCTTCTCTCACCCCTTTCTAAAGTACAGATCTCTGCTTGCGTAAAGTGATGACACAAGCTAATGTTTGGGGGATGAAACAATCAAGCTTCGATTTCATTACAAGCTTTGTTTTCTGTTTTGCTCAAGGAGCAGCGTGAAGAACTCTTTCAGGAAACACTGGTGGCGTATGTGTGCTGGGATGCACTTTTGCTTTTCTACTTCCCCGGAGACACCACTTCTCTTCCAATACGTGTAAGGGCTGTGGCTGTTTTCCCCAGAAATGTCTCACCACAGCCCACCTAAACGTGGAGGTGGAGCCTCAGCGTCAGTGGGGCTAGAGAGCACGACGGTTGCGGGCCTCGTTCCAGGCACACCACTCTACACGAAGGTCAGGAGGAAAACAAAACCAAGTTGTGCCATTTTTCCTTCCCCTTTTCATCCACCCGGCGGTCATTCCTCCTCCTCTGATTCTTTTCTCACAATAAAAACAAACCACTTAAAACCCGGAGACCTATTCTGGTTGGCTGAACAAACATGAGCGGAAGTAAACTTGATAATGGGAGGAAAACCGGCACCACCATTCTGACCCCACCTCCCGGGCCCCGACTCCAACAGATAAGGTGGGAAGGGAAGCGGCAGAACCGCTGCCCTATGTGGCTTCCACTGAGAACTGCAAATTCAAAATTTTTCTTGATTTTGAGGATGAAGGTTACTCAAACAATGAATTTTAGCCCCAAATATGGGCAGTTTAGGCTTTTACTCTCTCCTGTGCTATTTAGGCGATGCAGTGGGGAGGCTCCAAAAAGATCCAATATCCACAGCAGAACACACACAATATTCCTTCCAGGTTTCCGTTCACTTCTCTGCATTAGCATCAAAAACTCCTGGAATTCTAGAGACCTTCTAATGGCTATCACCTCTACTAGGCCTAAGTAGGAATATCCATGAATATCCACTTTATTCTTTCGCTTTGTCTCACTGAGGTGTAACTGACAAGACTGGAAGGCAGAGTGTACAGCATAAATGATTTAGGTGTGTACTGGGAAAGGGTCCTGAACATCTGCTTTATTCTCTCACAAGTGTAGGGGAAATGCTTGTTCTTAGTAGACTGGAGACAAAAAATGGAGCTTTTCAGAATAAATGTTTATTTAAGAATTAAGGGAAAACAAAAACATTAAAGCATAGGAATACATTGACTGAATACAAGTGTCTCGTTTGGTCTGAAATCTTGAAAAAGTTACTCTAACTACTTACCTGAGGTAGATTTAGGTTGGCACTGTCTCAAGAGAACCTCCATCCATCCCAGAAGTTACCTTCTAGTTTTGGTTACAGGCTCCCAAGTGGTCCTCTCCAACCTCAGGTTATGCTCTATGAATAACACCAACACCTTTTTTCCCCACGGTTAAAAGCCCTCACACTCAGACCTGTCTCATACCCCAACTGTTCTCCATTTGAAGGATGGTCCATCCTTAATTTACTTAAAGACTAGAGAGAATTACCAGTAAGATTAGTTGAAAGAAGGGGCAAGTCATTGCCCTGCCAACGATATAAACTGTCCCCTTCTCCAAGTTCTAATGACTAATAAGTAGCCATAAGGACTAACTTTCATCACCACCATGCCATACACCCAATACTATTTTAAGTATTACAACCGTCAAACATATACTAGTGATAGGCATGATCTGCACCAAAGAGAAACAAATACATCTTGCGTGTTTTATCACACTGGGCAACTTTTCATGGTATAAGAGCTATTTATGAAAATTACTAAAACACAACAGATCAAATAAACTTCCAGCATTTGTTTTCTAAAAAAAAAAAAAAAAAAAGACCAAGAAAACCCCACCCTAGAACCAGATTCCTTATTATCACTATAAGCTATATCCACTGGGACCCTAAGATTATCAGGCTCATCAACCAGCCATTAGGATCAAAGCTGAGAGCTGCACACAAGGTCGCAGCTGGCCACCTCCGTTAAGTCTGAATGCCAGCACTCTCCGGAGTTCAGGGATTTGTTAAATAAACCAGAGAACCCAGAGTAGCAACAAAATATTTACTCACCAGTCTATAGTCCCAAATGCTGTAGGAATCTTAAGTACTTATATTAAATGTCTTTTAATCTGAGGGAAGAAAAAAACCCTCAGAATTGTCCATTTATAATCCCTGGATTAATTATAGTATTTCTAGAGAACGTTAGAGATGATCGTTAATTATCCTGTTAAGTTGGAGATAAGTGCTTATCCTTAAATCTCTGATGAATCTGCCAACTACTTTTCCCTTCTAGCATTCAGAATCCTACATTCCAAGCCACACAGATACCTTATGTTGTGGTGACTGCAATCCTTTCCCTGGGAATAAAAAGTATTCTCTTTCCTTGGCAGAACTGAAATAAATGAAAGGCATATCATTATGGGGCTTGATTTGCTATAAACAGCAGGATAATGGAGTGAAAAGAACACCAGCTTTGGAGTCTGGGATACTCAAAATCACAAAGTTTTAGCTCCTTCATTTTTGATTCATCAAATAAGTGTTTTACTCTGTGCCTACTCAGACTTAAACCTTTCTTTTGGTTTCCCTTTAATCATTTTGCAAGGAGCTGAAGAGCATTTTATCAATGAAAGAGGCGAGTTAAAGTCATAAAAATACAGATGCTAGAGACATCATGACATGACTATTATACTGAAATTTGCATTTCAGTTTAAAAGAAGTCTCTAAAGCTGAAATTTCAAAAACCAGTGATCATCTCCCAAAGATGTTTGAAGGAAAGGAAACTTTAGAGGGGAATGCCTTAACTCATGCTAAGTAAAAAAGCTGAGTATTCTGCCTCTTTATGAGGCTGGCCCTCCAAAGGGAGAACTTTTGGGAGAGTTTTGATCCAGGGGAACCACTCCCTAGCTGCTCAGTTCTTTTCACTATCAGCAAAAGGTTCCCAGGCTACTGTCAACACACTAGTCCCACAGAGGCCAAGTCAACATAATCCTTTCCCCCACAGGGAACACATGCCACGCCTTCTATCACAAGGTTACAGTCCTTTCCTTTATTGGATTTCCAAATTTTAAAAAGCGAAAAGTAAAGCAATCATTAAGTGGTTCAGATAAAAGAAAAGCATCTTTACCTGAGTTACCCATCAGGCCTACTGTGACCTGCTCTAGCTCCTCCCAGAACAAGCTTCCGGGTATCTAAACAACTGTTTACATATTGACTCCATTAAAAGTCATCTCTACCGTATGGGTCAACTATTACCTATTATATGTACACAGTCCACAATTAGATCTCTCACTGGCCAAAATTCTCCAGAGAGTACGTTCTTTGGGACCCAATAAGGTAGGAGTTTCTAGCAAGGCTTTTTTCAGACTCAAGGGGGGTTTTCCACTAATGCGAGTTCCCTGGTGTACCATGAGAGCTGATCATTGACAGAAGTTTTTCTCACTCAGAGACTTTGTAAGGTCTTTCCTCAGATTGGGTTTCTTTGGTGCAAACCCAAGAAGGCTCTTCCAACTCATGTTTTTGCCACATTCAAGACAAATATACATATTTTCACCAGTATGGCTTCTCTGAAGAGTAAGAAAGTCATAGTTCTGTTAGAAGCTTTTTACACACTTGCTGGGGTTTCTCCCCATTGTGGGCTTTCTGACGTCCAATGTGACGTGCATACTGTCTGAAGCTCTGTTGACACTGAGGGCATTTAAAAAGTCCTCTGGTGTGAATTCTCTTGGGATGAGGACGGCTGAGCACTGCTAGAAAGCTCTCTCACACTCACTGCATTTGTAAGGTTCCTACCTGTAGGAATCCCCTTGTGGATGATCAGATATGAGCGTGGACTAAAGGTTTTCCCCAAACTCAGGGCATTTGTAAGGTTTCTCATTGGAGTGACTGATAAAGTGTTCTGTTAGGGTAGCTCTCTGGGCAAACCATTTCTCAACTTCCCACAGCTGCATTCTCTGGTCCCCACTGAAGTCTGAGCTCTGAGGAAAGTCTGAGATTTGCCTAGAGTTCTTTACTGAGTTCTCTGACATGTAAATACATTTTTTTATGGTATTATAACTTCTTGTCGGATCAAGACATTTGTGAGGCTTCTGATGCTTGGGGAGGACTGAGCTCAAGACCTTTCTCGCCCATATTACAGATATATGGTTTTTCACCGATATGGATTGTCTGATGTTGAAGTAGGGCTGAGCTCTGGTGGAAGCTTTTATCACATACACTGTATTTATAATGCAGCTCCTCGGTCTGCGTTCTCATTTTCTGTTGGGCAACAAAGTCCATGCCCAGGAGGAAGCCGCTCTCACATGTAGACCACTGATGTGGTTTCTCTTCCATATGAATTCTTTGATGCACAATGAGGTCTGAGCTACAGCTGAAACTTTTCTCATATTCAAGGCATTTAAAAGTGTGAGTGTGAGTTGCCTGATGCCTGATTAGGTTGGCACTCCGAGTAAAACTTCTCATGCATTCCAAGCACTTATATGGCTTCTCACCTGTATGGACTCTCTGGTGTACAATAAGGTCAGATTTCTGGCCAAAGCATTTCTCACAGGCACCACATTTATAGGGCTTCTCCCCAGTATGAACTCTTTTATGAACAATGAAGGCTGAACGGTGTCGGTAACTTTTCTCACACTTATTACATTTGTAGGGCCTTTCACCAGTATGAGTTCTCTGGTGGCTAATAAGATCTGATTTCCCACTAAAAGCTTTTTCACACTCCAGACACTTAAACGGTTTCTCACCTGTGTGAGTTCTTCGGTGCCTTATGAGGTTTGTGCTTCGACTGAAGCATTTATCACACTCACTACACAGATAGGGTTTCTCGCCTGTATGGCTTCGCTGGTGGACAAGCAGATCAGAGCTCTGACCGAAATTCTTGCCACAAATATCGCATGTATAGAATTTTTTACCTGCATGTGTTCTCTGGTGTCCCGAAAGGGCCAGGTGGTGCCAAAAGCTCTTCTCACATTTGCTACACTTATAAGGTTTCTCATAATTGTGGATCCTCTGGTGTGAAATAAGATCTGAGCTTTGGACGAAGGTTTTCTCACACATATCACATCTATAAGGTTTCTCCCCAGGATGGGATCTCTCACACATAATAAGAGCTAAGTTTTCACAGAAGTTTTGCTCACATTCAAGGCACTGGTATATCTGATCATCTATTTGAGTAATCTCATGCACATGAATAAAAATCTTTTTACCCTTCTGAGGGCATACATGATAGATTTTCCTTTTCTGAGTTCTCTGATTGTATCTCTCTTCTGAAGTGTACATTTTCTATGGCTCTCTCCTAGGGAGTTTTCCACTGGTCTTCTTGACCCATCATCATGTTCTTCATAGTCATTTTCTTGGTAAGGACTTGAAAGATACATCTGTCGTAGGCCTTTCAGTCATGAGCAGCTCGTCTCTACACGTTTCCAGCATCATATAGACTAATTCCTTACTTGGTATTTCCAACCCTGTAAGACAAAGAAGAAGTATTATTTATATTCCTGTAACTAAGAAAAGAATGCTCAAAGTTAAAATTACTGCAGGACAGACAGAAATTCTCCATCAGAGTCCGTAAGTGCTCTAGTTTTTACAGGGGTTGAAGCCAGTTAGTTTTCCTCTTTTCTAATACAAAACTAGTCAGCAGGAAAAGACCTGGAAAAGTTATTTCTTTTATGAGCCTGGGTGATCTCAAAACCAGGGTTCTTCCCCTTTCCCTGGCTTCAACTGAGTAATCAGGACAGGCCTCGCAGTTAGTACGCTTGCTCAAGAGAAAACAACCCCAAAAGGACTGTGAACATCTATGCAGTCCTCTCCATCGGAAGGTTTGGAAAGAAATGGTAATGATCATTAGAATTCCCAAGGCACTGGGAGAGAGAAGGGTTTCTGTGGCTCCATCATCCCAGCTGTGTGATGTTGGGCAAGGTATTTAACAACTCTTCCCCACCTAGTTTGTTCCTCTGTAAAATGGGACTTATAACTAAAATTATTTCACATTGTGGAACTGAACAGTAAGTTAATCCCCTCTTCATCTCACGGTAATAAGCATTCTGTGTTAGCTCTCATGCTATTATTATGATAAAGATTCTTTGTTATGACCACATGAGCACAAACCCTCCTCAAATAGGAAAATCCTGACGGGGGTGCCTGGGTGGCTCCGCTGGTTAAGCGACTGCCTTCGGCTCAGGTCATGATCCTGGAGTCCCGGGATCGAGTCCCGGGATCGAGTCCCTGGATGGAGTCCCGCATCGGGCTCCCTGCCAGGCAGGGAGTCTGCTTCTCCCTCTGACCCTGCCCCCCTCATATGCTTTCTCTCTCTCAAATAAATAAAATCTTAAAAAAAAAAAAAAAAAAAAAAAAAGGAAAAGAAAAATCCTGACTACAGATGAAAGCTTGGCTTCAAACCTGCTTTAATACCAGGCTTTTCTTTATACAGTGAAGAGATGTGGAAGAGTTTCTCTCCTGTTAGAGGCATGTGCAAGTATTAAAGCACCTGGAGTTGAGCATCTTAAGGAAATAAGTCCTTCTACAAAGGAAGATCACAATGACATAGTTCTCCTTTCTAATGTAACCGAAAACGGCCCTCTGTTCAGGCTGCCAATGCTCCACTCCTCCCGGGTAAGAGATGCAGATCACCTTCAAATGAGTAAGAGATTAAAAAGGAGAGGGAGAGGAGAGAGATACGGAGGTCTTTCAACTGGGGACCTATTTTCCATGAAGCTACACTGGTAGATGAATTAAAGGTGTCACAGCCAACAGGAATACGGAAAGACAAGACTAATGCTATACATTGGGTTGATTCAGGAGAGCAGCACAGGGGGTAGTGAATTGGTCATTTCATTTATCAACCGCTCACAATATAGCAAAGAAGAAACACATGAGAAACAAAAGGGGAAAAACCACCATTTTCTTTGTCCTTCACACTTACTCTTTTCAAGGATCGTTTCCATGTTTGACCCTTGTCATACCTTCAAAGCCCTTCGCAGCATCTAAGGAGTAAAAGCTGATGACTGTGCTTCCTATTTTACTGAGAAAATTTAAGCAAACCAAAAAAACAACACAACACACATACTCAAAAACATAAAAAACCACTTCTCCGTGCTCCCACCCCATCAACCAGCTTCTTGCCAGTGTGGTCATGCACTCCACCTTTCCTTCCATCACTGTGGATGAGGCTGCCTCCGTTCAGTCTAAAGACAACCCTTCCGTCCGTGTACTGGGTCCCATCCCTTTCCTCCACAAGGACATCTCTCCAGCAATTCTAACCTCCCCGTCCTGCACCTGTTCTTTTCTTCTGGATCACACTAATCAGCAAACTGGCTGTTTCTGCTCTCCTAAAACAGAAGCACAACCAACATGAAAACTTTTCTTTACCACCTCACCCTCAAGCTATTATCCCACCTCTCTGTTCCTTGTTACAGGGGCGCCTGGGTGGCTCGGTCGGTTGGGCATCTGCCTTCGGCTCAGGTCATGACCTCAGGGTCCTGGGATCGAACTCCGTATCCAGCGCCCGCTCCGCGGGAAGCCTGCTTCTCCCTCTTCCACTCCCCCTGCTTGTGTTCCTGCTCTCACAATCCTTCTCTGTCAAAAGAAATAAAACCTTAAAAAAAAAAAAAAAAATCTCTTCTCTGTTCCTTTTTACAGCAAAATTCCTCAAAAGAAATAAATCTGCTTATTGTCTCCAACTCTTGTCTCCCAAAGTTTCTGGAACATCCTCCAACCTAATATTCGTCCTCATAACTCTGCCAAAACTGCTCCTGTTGGAAACGCACAAGCCCCTAAGCCATCCGCCTCCTGGTTTCCGCCGACTCCTCTCCTGGCTCTCCTACTGAGCACATCCCAGTCATCTTGGCCTCGCTGCTGCTCTGCAAACCAGCCAGGTCACCCCCACTTCAGGATCTTTGTACTTGCAGTCTCTCTTGGCTAAAGTGCTATCCCCTCTAGATTTTCAAGGCTCCCTCCCTCAACTTCCTCAAATCCTTGGCCACCGTGCTTTCCACTGTCACACACCTGCGTCCCAGCTGACCCGGACCTACAACACTCCTGTCCTCTCCTGCTTCATTTTTCTCCACAGAATGTCAGCCCCTAAAGGGCCAGGATTTTTGTTTATTTCATTTGCTGCTTCCCTAGTACCTGGCACACAGTAGGTGCTCAAAGCTAGAACGGCTGTCCTTATTTGGAATCTATGGACTCCTAAATAACCTATGAAAACTGTGAAATGTGACTGCAAATGTTAGTTGGTATGTGAACATTCTTCTAGGGACAGAGTCCACCGTTCACCAACTATGATGTGCGGGCCCAGAGTCTGTGTATTGGTGTGAGAGGAAACAATGTGAGAGCAGACTGAACATCACCCTAGTAAACGTGATGGACCAGAACGCAAAGCAAAGCACTATACAAGCAGAATAAGCAACAGTCACCTGAATTCAGAGGAAACAATGAGGTGAGGCGAAAGGATCCAGAAGATGGATGACTTTGTTTCATCAATTTTCTGATTGGTTTTCCAATTTCCATTCAGCAATTTGTAAACTCTCCATGTGTAAGGCACAGAGACAGTTGTTATAATAAAAAAAAAAAAGTTATTTATAAATATAAAAAGAAATACCAAGGCTCCAGATGTCAATTCAAACATGTTCTCATGTTTAGTTCTAGGGGATGAGAGAAAACTGAATGGGATGGGAGTAGTTTCTTAAGTCAAGGAATAGACTGCCCACAGGAAATGTAATGTTAAAACCACTAAAGAGGGACAGAATGAGAGAAAAGTGGGATGTACGGCCGAAAGAGTAAAGCTCACAGCTCTGGGAAGGGGAAGAAGCAGGTGAGCAAAAAAACACACGTTTATGTTAAATACAGTAACTCTACATCCGTCTGTGCGATGTTGGGCCAGTTATTTAACAACCATAAAGACTGGTGTCTTTATAAGAAGAGATCAGGACACAGAGATATCAGGGATGCGCATGCAGGGGGAAGGCCATATGAGGACAGAGAAGGTGGCCATCTGCAAGCCAAGGAGAGATCTCAGAAGAAACCAGACCGGGCACTTTGATCTTGGACTTCTAGCCTCCAGAACCGTGAGGAAATAAATTCGCTGTTTGGAGCACTCAGCCTGTGGCATTTCGTCATGGCAGTGCCGGCACCTCCTGTCACCCTCCAATCCCCACCCTCCTTACACTCAAAGCCTCAACCCCCAGCCAGTGAACCCCTGTTATAACAAGAGGTTCTTCTCTGCCCCTTCAGTGGCTTCCCCTCCCCCGCTCCTCCCCTTCAGTCCCCACGATGGCCCAAAAGGCCTCACAAGGGCTGCTGTCACCCCGACCACTGCTGTTCCAATCTGCTCTTCCCTGTTCTCTCCACACGGTGCGACCCGCAGTGGCCTCCGGGCTGTCCTCACCCACACCCCCTTTAGGGCTTCTGCCCTTCCTTTCTTGGGTCTCCGGCCGTTTCCCCCCAGGGGTGTGTACAGCTCTCTCTTCAAAGGTCACTTCTCAAGGGCGCCTCTCCCGACTGCCATATTTAGGACTGTGAACTGCCCCCCACGCCCCAGCGTTCCCTACCCGCTTTTCTGCTTGGCTTTTCTCCACGGCATTTACCACCTTCTGATACACGGTGTAACTGGTTTGTTTATGCTCTGGAACATGGCAGGGATATTTACCTGTCTTGCGTGCTGCTCCTTCTCTAGTACACAGAGCAGTGCCAGGCAGAGTCAGGGCTTACTCAGCATCTGCCGAGCGCATGAGAAAATCCTTACCGTAATTCTACTTGCGTCCCTATGGTGAAGGAAAAGGGCCGAATGCCAGAAGACACAGGAGCTACTCTGATGGGGCACGGTCTAAGAGAGAGAAGGCACGCTTCTAGAAAAACTGTAGCTTACCTAGAAGCTAACTGGAAGGAAAGCGGCGTTTACTTCCTGCTCCCGAGAATCTGATTTCTCAAGGAAGAAGAGTGTTCTGTAAAACACAAGGATAAGAAAAGGCTAAGTAGTTACAAATAAGCAGACTTAGCACTGGAGCATTTCACTCGAAGAACCTGAAAATGGGTAAACTAGGTTCCTTAAAAGAGCAGTTGGGTTTTCTTATACAATCCCTTAAATTCAGTTCTGAGGAGGTTAACACAGTCCTAAACCATCCCATATAACTCTACAGAAAGGGGCCAACAAAGAATCTGAAAAAACCATCTGCACAATCTACAGCCTCCGAGGGACTGTAACAACATCGAAGGCAGAGCCCCAGCCCTAACTCTCAGCGGAAGATGGCGCACGCTCCGGGTCACTCTCCCTGCGGGAGCTCAGGGGGCCTTCACCTACAGGGCAGTCGGGACCACAAAAGCCTCTTGTGCTCTAACAAAACCAAGACTTGACCATCAGCACCCTTCCTTCCCTGGTGGGCAGGCAATCATCACATTTCTGGTTATTCAAAACTTACCACGGCCTAAGGGAATTTCTATTTCAGCCAGAAACAACTCGGGAGGGGTCAATTAGGGGCATAGAAGAAGTTTGAGAGCTCAAACTTGACCACCAATGCCTTCCCTCAGCAGCTTTAACCTGCCTATTCCAGGTGGCTGAGGCTTCAGTTCCCTCAAGAACCTTCCTGCTCCTGAGGATCAGAAGCAAAAAAGGAACTGCTCAGCCCCAGACAACACATGGGGACATTTAGCTGAGGCTCTCTATGACAGTCCCTCACAGCTGCCAGTAGAAAGATGACATGTTTCACGGTTCTGGTTCCAGGTTAAGACGGAGTAAACACAGGCCATTCTTGTTCTCCCTCACAATGCACTTATGACATCTGGACAGAACGTATGGGCCAGCTACTTGAGGACTCTGAAAAGTAAATAGCACGCGGGTCAAGGAAGACCAAAATTTAAAGCCCAACCTAACCAGCAGCGAGGGGACTCTGCGTTGCTGTCCTTCCCTTGAGTAACCCCTGGCCTGAACGCAATACAGCCTGAAACAAAGAAGTCAGGGAAACTAAATCGTAATTCAACTAGGATTTTTCAGAGAACCTATGAGCTTCCATGAAAATGATTCAAAACTGACTTCAATGGATAGAATACGGACTTAAATATGGAGGAAGAAAGAACAAAATACCTCTGGAAGAACTACACAGGACACGGTAAGAAAACAGTTAGGAAGGGGGTAATGGGTGTCTGCAGAAATCCAAATCTCCCAGCACATCCTTTAACAGCTGTAAGAACAAGAGAAATGCACAACCCAAGCCCACACCTGTGCTAAACCCTAGCTTTCATATGCAAGCTCTGCAGACCACCAATGAGAGCAAGAGCAATCTGAAAATGTGGAGTAGAGAGGAGGGCTCGTGGTGCACAAAATCAACTGAGCTTCCTGCCAGAAAGAGAAAACCCATTCTAAGTACAAGAAAAAAAATTTAAAGTTCTGATCAGAACGGGATATTAGGAAAGGACTTTTAGCTCACACACCAGACTTAGAGGCAGTCCTGGAGTGGCAATTCTTTAGGAAAAGAGAGTAAAAAGGAAGGGAGAGGAACCCTTTGGACTGCACAGTGAAGGAGAAAAGGAGCAGAGAGAAATTCAAGATGAAGGGAAATTTTTTTTAGAAAAGAGTAAAATAAAAAAGGCACAAGTCATGCCCTCACTATTTTCAAAGATATGTCTTCTAGTTAAAAAAATAAAAAAGATAAAAAATCCACAAAACTTGACCAAGCGTCACTGAATTAGCAGTCTCGTTAAACACATCATGTTCTAATAAAATAGACATAATCCAACTCAACACTGGAAGGAGAAGAGAGAACAAACTGAAATAACCTCACTGGTCATTGCATTAACTGCAGACAGGGGTTAAGGGATACTACCAAAAACTGAAAAACCAGACAATTAAAGGCTAAATCAGAACATGGGACTAAGGCATTACAAAAGATCTATGTTCAAAGGCAGTCATGATAACAAAAATCAAACATTCTAAAAAAGTTAATGAAAGAGCAATGCAAACACAAGTAACTGAAAAAACGGGACAAATATAAATGACATGATTGTGCTGAGACGAAACATGTCAATCGTATCAATATATGAGAATGAGTTTGGCTCACCTATTCAAATTTTTTTACCATGGCTCACAAAACAAGACCCAACTATATGCTAAATACAAGAGACACTTAAAACAAAGATTCAGAAAGGCTCAAACTAAAGGGACAGAAAAAGTAATACAGGCAAATAGAAACAATAAAAGAGAGCCTTATATTCAAGATATCATGAAGAGGAAAATTCAGGCTGAAAAACATTAAACATGATAAAGGACACTTTTTAATGCTGAAAGCCCTAATCATAATACAGCTTGTAATAGTTATGATTTTGAACCAAATCACACAGCAGTCACCCTTACAAAGCAAAAACTACAATAGATAACAAGAAATATAGCAAAAACATTAATAATAAGACAACATACCACTATCAGTAGAAAGACATACAAAGTAGAACAAAAAAAGTAATGATGCAGAAAACCTAGAGAATCTAATTAGTAAGCCTTATGATAGCTACTGAAACTTAACCCTAATAATAGGAAGTAAACTTTGTTCTCAAGCACACATGAATCAGTCACAGAATTCTGTCTTATATTAGGTCATAGAGACAGCATCAGTAAGTCCATAAAAAGACATGAATCTAAAAATTTATTGAAATACCAAATTAAAAAAACCCCCACCTAAATGGGGAAAATAAAACAACTCTTCAGCAAATGGGGAGATGAAACAAAATTTCTAAATATTGATAATTAAAATTATTACAGATTACAATCTATGGAATAAATTTAAAGCAGTGATCAAAGAATATTCATAATCTTAAGTACTTTTATGTCAACATAACGAATTAAATGAAATCAGTGAACTAAAGAGAAAACCAACCTAATTATAAATCAAAATCCTACTTATTTGGAAAAACTTAAAGAAATGATACACTACTAGCTAACTTAGTGAAGAAAAAGAGAAAGTACGTATTTATAAAAAAGGAAAAGATAAGGAATAAATAAGTAAAACAAAAAGCCCCACATACACATAACAGATCACTTTGCAGACTTCTACACAAATAAATGTGATAACCTATGAGGCAGACTGTGTTTTTTACCAAAATCACCCCATCCAAGACAGAAAGTTTTAAAGCACCAATATGCACAGAATAAACACAAAGTTGTTAAGGAATCAGCCCACAAAAAAGCACTGGATCCAGATCATTTCATAAGGGTATTCTAACAAACTTACAAAGACCAAATAAACTCAATGCTTCAAAAATGTTTTCCAGAGCACTAAAAATGAAGAAAAACTTCCAGTCTTTCGTGAAAATAGTTTAACATTGACAACTGAACCTGATGAAGAATATAAAAATGTTTATAGCCCAATATTAGTGTGAAAAATACTAATAAAAATCTAAAACCACATTAAGAAAAGTAAAGTACCATGACAAAGTAGGAGTTATTCAGGGAACACAAGACTTATTCAGTATTAGGAAACCCATTAATATAATGTCTCATATTAACAGGTCTATGGAGAAGAATCATGATTATCTTCAAAGATGCTGAAGGAACTCACAACAGAATCAACATCCAGTCCTGATGAAAATACTCAAGAAAGTAGGAATTAATGAATACTTCCTTTTAAATGATAAAATATACATTCTTTAGTCTAACAGCCAGTACCTAAGTGAGAAAAACTAGTCATTTCCGATAAGATCAGCAACAAGTTAAGAATGACCCCTATCTCTTCTGTTATTAAACTCGGAACTGGAAGTATTAGCCAGTGCAATTAGAAAATAAAAATCAATTAGCGGTATACAAATAGAAAAGAAATAAAATTATATGTTTGGAGACAGAAGGGCATAATTAGAAAACCCTAGAGAAAATCGACATTAAAAGTGACTCAAAGGAATTCAGTAAGGCAGCAGGATATAAAACTCACACATAGAAATGAACAGCCCTTTTTTGTACAAAAATAACAACCAACTAGTGTATAGATAGAGAATACTCCTTGTACAACCACAAAATATGAAATACTTAAAGATAAATTAAACAATAATTATGTAAATCACATACGTAATTATGTAAAATGAAGAAGAGGAAAACTTTCAGACACTACTGAAAGACCCCAAAGCAGACCTGAACAAATGCAAAGACATCTTTTGTTCTGGGACAGAATGATTCAATATAATGAAGATGTTAGTTCCTCCTAAAAAGATTTATGGATTAATACAATTGCAACAAAAATAATAAACTTCTTCATGGAACTAGACCAAAGGCGGACAAATTATGGCCCACAGGTCAATTCTGACCTGCAGTCTGTTTTTATAAAGTTTTACTGAAACAAGGTAATACTTATTCATGAATGTATTGCTCATGGCTTCTTTCTCATATGGCAGAGTTAAATAGTTGAACAGAGACCATCTGTCCCCCAAAGCCTAAAGTATATACTTTCTGACCCTTTACAGAAAAATCACAATGCTTGAGCTACAGTTATTACTCAAATTCACTTGGAAAAACCAACATGCAAGAAAAGGCAGGAAACAATGAAAAGAAAGATTGAGGGGTGACTTATAACCCTGTAAGACATTAAAATATGCTATAAAGCCTCTAATATTAAAAAAATATGGTTCTGGGGGTGCCTGGGTGGCTCAGTCGTTAAGCGTCTGCCTTCGGCTCAGGTCATGATCCCAGGGTCCTGGGGTCGAGCCCCACATCGGGCTCCCTGCTCTGCGGGAGGCCTGCTTCTCCCTCTCCCGCTCCCCTTACTTGTGTTCCCTCTCTCACCCCTGCTTGTGTTCCCTCTCTCGCTGTGTCTGTCAAATAAATAAATAAAATCTTAAAAAAAAAAAATATGGTTCTGGTACGTGAATACATAAAAAGATAAGTGAAACAGAAATCCAGAAACAGATACAAACATATACAGAAATTTAGTATACAATAAGAGTGATGTCTCAAATCACCAGGGAAAAAAAT